GGAACGTGACACCCGATCCAATAATATCATTAATTTATCATTTATTATCACAACTTTTCAAATAATTAACAATATTTCATCAAGCCTTCTTTATTCAAGGCATCACTTTGATAGAGAGGTTTTCATATTATAAATCTCACGGTCTCAGGATTTTAGACCAATCACAAACCACACGACCAAGCCACACAATCACACAGTCAAGTACATAGAGAACTTCACAATATCATTCAATGCATATCAATCGCTATTAAGAGTTCATCTATCAAATAGAATAAACCATAACCTACCTCCACCGAAGAACTGACGTCAGGCAAGCTACTTCTCCAATGCCTTCCTTTCCTCAATGCCTCCAAACCTTTCCAATCTATCAAGTATATATGCATAATTTGTAAAGTTAACAAGCCTATAAACACTCATATTATTCTATGTCCCTCCTATACCCAAAAACTCACCTAATTCTATAATCAACTTCCTAAAGTTCAAACCTAAGGGTAAGTCTTAATTCTTCCCATTAGCATAACTTTAATGTAATTCATATAATATACTACACCTTATATTTAATTACCACTATCTCAATCTATCAAATTTTAGTTTGTAATATGGTAAAACTGAAACCACTGGTCACGATACCAGTGCAGCCAAACTCATAAAGCCACAAAATAAACTAACCAATGAAAATTAATGTAACACGGAAACCCATGAAACCCATTCCAAAATATGGACATAACAGTGACAATTTAATTCCATAAAATTTCCATCTGTAATCCACTCTTCAACTCAATAAACAATAGTTTACCACTTATTGTTCTAGTACTTCACAATAGTTTAATCATCCCAACCAAAGTTTGTCCCTTAAATTTAAGAACTAACATCTAAACTTCAAGGAAATTCGATCATTTATTTAGAATATAAAGTGACCCACCTTATCATTATTATAATCCCTAAGGCAATTTTCCTAACTCAATTAAATAATCTCATTGGAAATCAGCCAATCCGTGGGAGACAAATTTGTCTCTCACAATCTCACACTCAACGCCATTAACCACCAAAATTTAACCTAATACTACTACTGAAACCTCGTTCTTTTCAATTTCCCGTCTAATAGCAATACTATAATAATAATCATAAAGCCTTTGTTCATATTCACAAAATACATATTGGATTTTGGATTTACCTGAAGGCGCGGCTATATATTCATTTAAAATTATTTTAATTTAATAAAATATCAAATACTTCAAATATTTTTATATATTGTCCTTTATTACTTTTATGTTGTATTAATAAATTAATATGGAAATCCCTAATTATTATTAAGCCTAATCATGGGGTGGTAGAAGTGGTCCACTATTTGTTTTAATGCTATCTTCTATAACCCCAACTAACCTAATTATAAAAACTACCCCACTAATTTCATAATTGTAGTTACGAATAGTCCAAAACACTCATTTAAAATATATCGGAAGAGTATTTTATACAATAAAAGCTCTAATACTCAAAATGATAAAATGGGTTGTTACAATTTAACAGCACAGTTTTTTTCTTCCAACAGGCTACTAGTGTATGAGTTTATGAAAAATGGCTCATTGGACAAGTGGATATTCCATTCATATAGTAACAGAGATAAACTGCTAATTTGGCCTACACGTTTTCGTGTAGCCATTGGTACTGCACAAGGGATAGCGTATTTTCATGAGCAATGCAGGAACAGGATCATACACTGTGACATCAAGCCAGAGAACATACTTTTGGATGAGGATTTTTGTCCTAAAGTTTCTGATTTTGGACTAGCAAAATTGATGGGGAGAGAGCACTCCCATGTTGTTACTATGGTCCGAGGAACCAGAGGTTATTTAGCCCCCGAGTGGGTCAGCAACCGACCCATAACTGTAAAAGCTGATGTTTACAGCTATGGAATGCTGCTACTAGAAATAATAGGTGGCCGGAGAAATCTTGATATGACTTGTGATGCTGTGGACTTCTTTTACCCTGGATGGGCTTACAAGGTACTCAGTTGATCAACTTTTGTAGCTCATTTCCATTTCTTGATCAAGAGGTCACAAGTTCAACCCGTTTAAATAACTGCCTAGCGGGAGCTTAGTGCACCAGATGGACCTTATTATATTATTCCATTTCTTGCAAACTTAAAAAACTAAAGTATTGAAGGTGCTGCATATGCTTCTATTTTGTTGTTTTTTCAGGAAATGACAGAAGGAACACCAGAAAAAGTTGTAGACAGAAGACTCGAAGGGGCAATCGAAAAAGAAGAGCTAATAAGAGCTTTGATGGTTGCCTTTTGGTGTATCCAGGATGAGGTTTCAACAAGGCCTACAATGGGGGAAGTGGTGAAGATGTTGGAAGGATCAGTTGACATTGATATGCCACCAATGCCACAAACTGTTTTAGAGTTAATAGAAGAAGGCTTAGATCATGTATACAAGTCTATGAAAAGGGAGCTCAATCAGTTCAGTTCCTTCACTATGACTACTCAGCCATCATCTAATGCTACATGCAGTTACTATTTAACAGCACAGTTTTTTTCTTCCAACAGGCTACTAGTGTATGAGTTTATGAAAAATGGCTCATTGGACAAGTGGATATTCCATTCATATAGTAACAGAGATAAACTGCTAATTTGGCCTACACGTTTTCGTGTAGCCATTGGTACTGCACAAGGGATAGCGTATTTTCATGAGCAATGCAGGAACAGGATCATACACTGTGACATCAAGCCAGAGAACATACTTTTGGATGAGGATTTTTGTCCTAAAGTTTCTGATTTTGGACTAGCAAAATTGATGGGGAGAGAGCACTCCCATGTTGTTACTATGGTCCGAGGAACCAGAGGTTATTTAGCCCCCGAGTGGGTCAGCAACCGACCCATAACTGTAAAAGCTGATGTTTACAGCTATGGAATGCTGCTACTAGAAATAATAGGTGGCCGGAGAAATCTTGATATGACTTGTGATGCTGTGGACTTCTTTTACCCTGGATGGGCTTACAAGGTACTCAGTTGATCAACTTTTGTAGCTCATTTCCATTTCTTGATCAAGAGGTCACAAGTTCAACCCGTTTAAATAACTGCCTAGCGGGAGCTTAGTGCACCAGATGGACCTTATTATATTATTCCATTTCTTGCAAACTTAAAAAACTAAAGTATTGAAGGTGCTGCATATGCTTCTATTTTGTTGTTTTTTCAGGAAATGACAGAAGGAACACCAGAAAAAGTTGTAGACAGAAGACTCGAAGGGGCAATCGAAAAAGAAGAGCTAATAAGAGCTTTGATGGTTGCCTTTTGGTGTATCCAGGATGAGGTTTCAACAAGGCCTACAATGGGGGAAGTGGTGAAGATGTTGGAAGGATCAGTTGACATTGATATGCCACCAATGCCACAAACTGTTTTAGAGTTAATAGAAGAAGGCTTAGATCATGTATACAAGTCTATGAAAAGGGAGCTCAATCAGTTCAGTTCCTTCACTATGACTACTCAGCCATCATCTAATGCTACATGCAGTTACTCCACTATATCACCTAGATAGTTAAAAAGTGGAAGGATTCAGTAGGAAGATTTGTTAGGATTATGCAGCTGTAAACCCATTGATGCTTCAAATAACATTCAAGAGCCAGCAAAATTGGATTAGCATAGTGTATTTTCTTCATTTTTGCCTATCTCAACTAGGATTGAAACATAAAATTGTGTACTTCAAATAAAACATGCGTATGTAGAAACATTCCCAAAGAGGTTTGCATGATCAGTTATGAGTGCATTTTCTTACAAAACATGGACTAAATTTTTATAGTATTCAGATGCACTGAAAAATTGGTTGATAGTTGTAAAGGTTTAAGTCTTTGACATCAAACCATATTAATTTACTATGATTTGGTGATGATAGTGTATGGAAAAATAAATTATATATTCATTTGGTTGGTCTAAATATAGACACTTTTTAGCCCAGCAGTAATTATCAAGTCTTATCCCAGATTTTTGATGGGGTACTTCAGACATTAACAAGGAGAGGCAACATAATGTTGTGTTAAGATAATCAAATCTGATGACTGAACTATAAACCGTTAATAGATATGCTTAAGTAGGAGTCTATGCCTTCCCAAATTTTGTAATTGGCACAGGTTTTATTGTTTTATTTTTTTCATATTTGAACCACTAACTATATCCCATGTGATATCTACATCTATATTGAAAAATCCAGGTTAGTTTTCTGAATCATATTTTCAGGATTTTAATAGATCGTTTATATAAAGAAGTAATGTAATCTTGTGATAACAGTAGATTGACACAAAAACAGATTGAATTTACCCAGTTAGAAGTAGTATGTTGAGATACAAAAGGCTATAGATTATAATAGTGAGTAAAGTTAGCAACCAGAAGAGAATTAAGCTTCGACTCTGCTATTATATTTCTACAGGTTGATTCATCACTTGATAAGAAAATTTGTGATGTTTCTCCAGCTTTAGAATAAGTAAACAGTGACGATGCTTTACATTCATCTACACAATTGCATCATTAGATACTGTAATCATAAATTTACATTTCAGTCGACCACAAGCTCTCGAGATGGGCTGACTTACCCTTGATTCAGTCATCTTCCTCCACATCAATGACCATCCTCAGTCGCCTTCTCGATACAGTAATAATAGGGGCTTCAAGTGAAGCATCATAATCCTCAAAATCAGACAATTCAGAATGGAATTTGTCCTGTAATTGCTGATCACCCTGATTGCCAGGAGGTGCATCTTGCTCACTGCTAAGGTCAGTTGCTAGGTTACCAGCATCAACATCACCATCAACATCAGAGGCAGTATTATTAAATCCTGTAACCTCCATTGCAGTAGCTTGATCAAGCTCTCCCCTTAAAATTCCAGAGAGGTTAAGATCATGTTAGTTAAGTAGGTCAATGGACCAATGCCAATGGCTCTAAAATCATGACATGCTCTTTTGAGGAAAAAAAGTCCAAATATGTAAAAGCATAAGAAAACTATCTTAGAGGGAATTAATATCATATATAAACGCTGATGCTACAATCCATCTGAGCTAACCTATGGCAAATATATAAAGTCACTGTCAGACATTAATGGTTCCTAGATTGTACATTATATATGCCTGTTACTGTGTCTGTATGGTAAATTCAAGCAAAAACAGCCTACGATACTTTGATGTGAATGTATATAGATGGCAAAACTTGGTTTAATAAAAATAAGAGCAAGTAAGCAAGGGTATCAAATTTAGGAAAGCAGAAGAGGATGGCCGAAAGAACTCAGAAGCCTAAGAAAGCTGGTATAGTAGTTCTAAAGTTCCTTCACAAAATAGAGGATTCCGAAAAGAAATTGGGATGAGGTGAGTGA